TTCAGGGAGCCAGGCTGGAGCAAAGTCCCATTCTCCTGAAGACAACAGCAAAGCAAGCTTCCTGGGCTGCTGGGCTACTGCACCTCAGAGCCAGCCAGGACCCTGTCTCCGTGGTCCTGTCAGCCCTTGGTCCCCTGCCATTGTGGGGACATTTTTGTGACCCATCCACTGGGCTCTGAGACCTTCCAGCTCATTACACACAACAGGAAGGATCTGCAGTGCCCTTCCCAGCTTGCCCTTTGCCTTCCTGGTCCCAGCCCACCGGGTCCCTGGCACATCTTCAGCACTTGCTGCAGGAAGCCCTACCGTGGCCAGGTGGATCTAAGAGACTAAATTTCCCCCCATGCACTCTCTGCGGCTGCTTCTGCTGACACTGGGCTTTGCAAAAGCCCTGCTGCTCCTAGCTTGCTCTTGGAGACAGTCTTTGCTGACAAGGAGCATGCAACCTAGAGGACTATCCGGGGAGCAGGAGAAGAGCGGCCAAGGCAGGGCATAAGAAGGTAGAGTCATGCAGACATGTGCATAGGGATTGCTCTTTCAGCAAAGCGCCATGGCCCATCCAGCCCCAACTCCCCTTTCCCACAGTGCCAGCCGCCTTGGAGAAAGGGAAAGCAGCAGGAGAGAGGAGGAAAAGACTACTCTGTGCATCTATCCTGGGGCAGGAAGAGGCGAGAGGCGATAGCTTGTGGTGCAAACAGTCTGTAGTAAACTGAGGCTGGAGATTGGAAGGAGAGCCCTCATGACAGGAGAAGGGAGGGCCTGGGATACCTCCCACTCCCTCCCCAGCAACCCCTTTCAGGGGCAGGGAATGGAACCAGAGTGCTCTGGGTGCACAGGACATGGGGACAGGACTCAGTGAGCCAGGGTCTTTCTGGGTTACGATTCCAGCCTGGCGTGTGATGCATGGTGGATTTTGGACCTTTGGATGCCATCAGGAAGCCTTGAAGACCCCAGTCCAGGGGGAGAGAGTGCATTTAGTCTTCATGGTCATGTGGCAGCTCTACCTGGAAGGATTTCTGCGACGTGCTGGGGTGTTGCCAGCCATGACACTGTTGGGACGCAGCAAACTCGCTTCACCCAAACCGTCAAGCAGGCAAAGATTTTCCATAACAAATCTGGGCGAAAGCAGGAGATGGTGACTGAATGGTGAATGACTGCTTGTCATGCTCCTGGGTCCCAGCCTGCCAGGCTCAGTGTAAAATATACCTGGCCTGATGAACAGGACCATGACACCCAAAAGCTTGCCTGTCCCAACCATACAGTTGGTCCAATGAAAGACGTCGCCCGCAAGAATTTGAGCCATGGCCTTTCAGTACAGGCAGATGGCTAAGGGAGGTTTATGCATACCCACTATTAGGTAAGTGAGGAGAAAACAGATTAGAATAGCACCAATGACCAGTCCTTGTGGGGTTACCTGCTGCTTCGTTTGTTCCTAATGCACCGAGGCCAGGACTGTTGGAGTCCCAAGTAGTTTCCTGTTCTGATACCAGGAATCCAAGGGTGAGAGGCCAGTGTTTCACAGCAAGGGGCATTCAGGGTCTCAAGTCCTGGAAATCACTGGCCATTCTGGGAATCATCTGAGCCTGTAACTAAGAAAACATGCGCAAGGCTCTTGAGCGCTTGGGATTGACAGCTCAGAAGCCACAACAGCCTTGAGCCCTGGGCAGCTGCCTTAGATCAGTCCAGCACAAGTGAAGGTCAATACTATTTTCTGGTTGTTGACTGCTCTTTTACCAACCAGCCGCTGGAGAAGACAGAGGGATTGCGCTCTCTTCCCCCAGTCCCCTCGCACCTTTGCGTCTGCCTCCTTCCTGCATCCCTCAGCACCTAGGGATGTTCTACCAGGATATCTGGAAAGGGGTCAGGGTAAACCCTCAGCCCCCTCCCAATCCAGGAAAGCAAATCAGCTGTGTGCAGTATGGCCCGTTCACCTGAACCTGGCAGGGCTGGGAAGTGGAAGCTCTCAGGATCCGGGGACCAGGCCAAAGTGGGGCCAGGGGCTGTTGCCTTCAAGACCTCCGGGGTAGGTTGTCATGCCAGCGTTGTGCCCAGGAGAGGAGCTGAAACTCAGGGAATGGAGATGGCGCGACTCAGTAGCTATCTTACATGGAGCACAACCAGAAGGCATAGCCAAGCTCACGATACTCAATGACATTTAGACACCCAAGTCCCAGTGAAGGATCCTAAATCCCTTGCAGATGTTCCCCTCTCATCCATCTGTATTCACAGCTGGACTTGAGCAGTTCTTGGCTTCATACCTCAATTTAATGCTGCTGCAGCCTGTTACAGCCAGCATCTCTGTACTCCCCAGTACTGGCTGCTGTTGTATATCATCATGCATTATAGCTCAAGAGTGGCCTTCTCAGTGTCTGGACTGGAGTGGTTTGAAGGGTGCTCAGAGGCCATATGAGCCATTGTGACAACTAGGGCACTTGTTTGGGATCTCTGACTGCTCTGTGGGGGTCTGGTGTGGGCCTAGTGATGCATCCTGGTTCTGTTGAACCTAGTGGGAAACAACCCCTCTTGGAGAGGAGATGGGTAAGGTAAGCTTTGCATCCCATGACAAGTGGTAGACTCCACAGTGATGGCATGAGGTGTGTATGTGTGCAAAGAAGCAATGACAGGTCTATGGCCTAAATGGGCAAACATCTGGAATGATGAGTCATGTGTTGGCTGGAGCGTCACAGCTGGGAAGGGGAGGGAGATGGAGACACAAGGCCCAATGCAGATCAGCCTTTCCAGTCACAAACAAATGGGGCCGGAGCCCGCTGGAATTCCCAGGGGGTTGGAAGACGTGGGAAATAAGCTGAAGCCCCCCTGTGCTCAGATGGAAGTACTGGTGGGGACACAGTACCTACTACCTCTGTGTGCATTTGTCCGGGTAGATAGAAAGTGATGCTGTTTCTAGGAGACTCTTTGCTTTGTTTCTGGAATAGACTCACATGACAGACCTCCTGCATCTGCTGACACATCTCCCATTGACTGGAACTGGCATTTCTGAAGAGACCCAAGGGAGTTAGGTGCCTGTCAGTTGAAGTCAGGCAGCCAGGACTTTCACAGGAGCCTGTATGGCACAGACTGAGGTCAGAGCATGCCAGGATTTGGCCCTTGCTGTCTGCTTATGGTCAGATCCTCTCCCCAGCATCCTGCCCAGTTACAGATGCAGGTGGTAGTGCACTCCAGGACAGGGGAGACCCCAAAATGCAGAGATGCTGTGAGGGGGGTGCTCTGGAGATGGCAACAGATTGTCACAACACGCTCTTGGTTTCAGTGGAATCAAGCCCTCGCAGGGCATCGTTTGAACCTAGTTGGTGTATGTTGTAGCAGGGGCTGGGCCAGCCCAGCCCTGATGTAGTGGCCTGTGTTTCAGACTGTTCACCCCCTGCTCTGCAGTGTTGGGCTTCAACGAATTTTGCCTACTAATCCCTTCAGGGCAGATGAGACTGGGGTGCAGAGGCTGCAGGGTTTGGCAGTTGGGTCGTGAATCCGGGCCGGGCTTGGCCCTCCCAAACCGGCTGTCAGCACACACTGTAACAGCTCCCATGGGTTAAAAATAGCCAGTGCTAATCATTCTCCTCCAAACGTTGGTCATGCCGCCTCCTGGAAGGCACCGGGTGTGAATGCAATTGCTTCTGCTAATCCAGAGACAGGTGCCACCTCCTCCGGCATCGCCAGCTGCCCACAGGGCCAGGGCTTCACTCCCTCCTGTTGGCGCAAATCTGGAAGAACACTCCCCAGGATGGCAAAAGCCGGCATTTTGCTTTGGCAGATTGAGCAGGGGGTTTGGCGCTGCCCGCAGCCAATTGGAGATCGCATTCATGTTTTGCAAAACGGGGCTCTCTCTCTTTCTCTCTCTCTATGTGTATATATGTAAATATAACACAGACACATCTCTCTCTCTTTATATATAATATCTATCTATCTGTATAGCGGTGTATACATAATGCACATTTATATGTATATAAATATAGATAAGATATATCCGTGTATACAGGTATGTATGTATGTATGTGGTGTGTGTG